GCTCGGCCTGGCACAGCGCGGCTCGGCAGGACTAGAGCCCGTAGTTGTTGGCCGCTTTTAGAGTGAAGCTGGGTCGGGCGGAGAGTGAGGAGGTGACATTTTGCTTAACATAACACGCCGTAAATCCTGCGCGAGGGCTGCGCGCCCGGCGCGGTGACCAGCTCGCCATGAAATGAAGACTCTGAGGACAAAACGTGCCTTCCCCCCCCCCGCCCCAGGCTGTCTCCATAAACCTGTTTGATTTCGGTGGCTCCTTCCCAGACGTTGTCGTTCCTTAAGCTAAAAGTAAGCTTTCTAAAGTTCAGACGTTTCTCTGCCCACGAGGGGAAGCTGAAACTCTGGGAACTTTGGAGCAGAGTGCGTAGCTGGCTCATAGGAGAGCAGCACCCTCGGGTTCTTGTCAAGCAAGGAAATCGTAGTAACACACAGTTTGCCATGCTCTCCGTTGGAGCTTAACGATGTGAAGAACTAAGTTGGCTTGAGAACAATTCTGGAAGTTCTGTTTAGGCAGTGTGTGCATGTGTAATCTCTAGCATGTGTCCATATGTAACACATAAATACGTAGCAAAGAAGGGGTAAGGAGAAAGAAGAACAGGGACTCCTTCAGGAGCTGATGAGAAAGCTTCCGTGGCACTTTAATCCGATGCTGACATCTCCCACTAGGATTTCTGAGACCAAAATTCCCTCCAAACCTCAAGGTCTAAAATACTGTGTTGCTGCATCCACTAATGAACATGAAATAGTAATGGCATGAAACAGCCATCAGTCTGGGGTTAAATTCCTTTTCGTGGAAGAAGTCAAAAGACTTGAGATACAAGTAGCAAGTCTCTACTGGAGTAATGCAAGGCAGAACGACATCCTTGTTTCTCAAATCCCCTTCCCCCCACCCCTTTGCACTTGGAGTCTTTCTCATCCTCCTCCCTCCTTCCTTTTTAAAATTTATTCATTTTTTATATGGCTTCGAGTGTAACTCTTCCTTTCTCCCTCTCCTCCCTCCCTTTGCTGGGTGGGCTCCCTGGGTGCCAGGGAGATTGTGCACACCTCATGGTAAAAGGGCTGAGGCACAGAGCTTGTACCAGACTAAAAGCAGGAGCTGGTCCACGGATTCAGGCAGGCAATTACTGGGTTTTAACACATCAGCCTATTACACAGATGTTCCCCTACAAGCACACATGCAGGAGTGGGGATAGAGGGGAGGGAGAGGTGAGTGATGAAGTCTAGATTTAGAGTTCATACGTTTTGTATTATTTGGGTTTCTGTGGCATTTCCTCTCTATTTATTATTATTTTCTGGGGAATATCACAGAAGACACAGGATCACGTTACTGAAAAACATTCTCTATATACGAGCTGCAGCAGGAACCGAGTTCCAAATGTTTCCCCCTCTCTTGTCACCCTGGGGAAGCATTTTCCCATCATGAAAGGATAAGTCCCTGGTTTTATTTAGTTTTTTTAAAAATAAGCCCTAAATACAACTATACATTTTCTAATAGGTAGAAACATACAATTAACAGCAAAACAATAAAGGATGTGAGTTCCAAGAGTGCATTTGTGGATTTGTTCATTTTAGTCCCAGTCACGCCCATGAATAGTATTAATTGCTTTGAGCTTTTTATGTAAAACAATTCTCATCCACCACAATAAAATCTGGTTTTGGATTTAGGGGAATGGGAATTAAAATGTTCTGAATTCCTGTATGGATAGATATTTTAAAATAAGAGGCAGTTAGGGGGAACTTCCTTCCCCTCTTTCTCCTCCTTTAGAGAACTATGCCAGCAACCCTTATTTATACTTTTTCATACAGAAAAAAACCCAATCCTTTATTCAGAATTTTTTCAAAACTATAAATCTATGCAAAGCAATTATTTTATTTCAATTCTGTGTACAAGAGGAGGAGGAGGGGAAAAGGTGAATAAAAAAATCCTTAAGCCATTTAAGCATTGTATGTCCGTTTGTCCTGCTTTGGGGGGCGGGGGCAAGGTTCTTCTGTATTATTGCAGGAGAAGGACCCAAACGCTATGAAGATTTGGTCCTTCTTAAAGTTGCTGGGGGACATTTAGTTTCCAAAATACCTGTGAGGATTTACTGTTGGACTGGAAGATGAGAATAAAGTTTCTAGAAAAGGGAGTAAGAGGGATTGAGAAAGTTTTTTGAACCAAGGGACTAATGGATCACAGTGGGAAAAGTGGAGGACTATTCCTGCTGAGTGTTTGGTCTAAATAATGTTTTTCTTGCATAGTACTGGTTTGGATGACTTTGTTTTGTCTGTGTTTAAGGCTGTGGTGCTGGTTTTCAGTGTCTCATGCTTTGTTGTGGTACAAAAAGCAGCATTTCCTCCCCTCGGCGGTGTCCTCCTGTTTTCTGTAATAAACAATATGAGGGGGTTCAACACTGTTGAGTATAAATAAGACGGGTGACTCAATGTGCCTAATTATTTTCGGAAAAGCCAATCTCTAGCTTTGGGGTTTTTTTCCCCTTAGGTTTATATCTTGAAATGTTGAAGGAGCAAGCTTCAGTTAGAAACTGCTAAATTAAACAGTATGTTTTAAAAAAGTAAAGCAAGGCGATATAAAAGATCTGGAAGGGGTCTTAAAACCCACTCGCTCCCCAAGTAATTGTTACTTCTGTGCTCTCCTTTCCTCCGTCTCAGAAGTTAGTAAACTGTTCTTCAACTTGTAAATGGTACTTATTCCTACTTTTAAAAGAAAAACAATCTAAGAAACTGCGGGCACATCCTACCACCTCCATTCTGTCAGCTGGAATGACAAGGCAAATTAGACAATATGTTTTAATCCAGATGCTGCGTACGATCGTTTTAATGTGCGAGGAATCTAAGGGACTAGACAATCTTACAGAAAAAAAAATAAAACTCGTACAATGCAAACAGGAGTTTTGAGTTCGCACACAGTAAAAACGGAGTTTAGAAAAATTTGGGGGGGGGAGGCTGGGCAGCAGGCTGTATTGATTAATAATGATGAGTGTGGGAGTCCAGGGAAAACTATCTCCCGCGGCCCGGCAGACCCGCAGAGGCGGGAGCATGTACGTGTGCACGCGTGTCTGTGTCTGTGTGCGTGCAGCGGCCGGGAGGGGACGGCCACCCCCTACATCTTCTTCC